GCCAGGGATGGAGCCTGCAATGTGCCCTTGACCTGGAATTGACCCTTCAACCCTTTGGTCCACCAGCTGGGGCTCTAACCACTGAGAAAACTGGCCAGGCTCCAGAGCCCCTTTGTAAGCACTTCATCAGACCTCCATCCTCAAACCTACCCAGCTCCTGGAGTACCCCACTATTGCAGCACTGGCTCTCTGACCTTCCATAGCATTGCCTGAAAGAGTGTCCTTGCTTTCTTCTGATAGCCATAGTGGGCAGAAGTGGGGTGTTCTTTACCAGTCCAAACCAGGTACCCCATCACCAACACTTGTGCCTATGTGTAGAGCCCTACTCTTTTCTCAAACACACACACACACACACACACACACACACACACACACACACACCCCTATATATAGTTTCTAAAAATTATTTATTTTTTGTAACCTCACTTGCCTTCCTGTCCTGGGCCCTCTTTGGGGGTCACTAAGGCTCTGAATCAGACAACACAAGCTTGGGGCTTTGAACCCTCCCCTCCCTTGAGACTCTGGGCTCTTCTCAAATGATTCTGCCTCCTCCTCAGGGCACCCTTTTGCATCCCAGGGATCTCAAGGAGCAGCCAAAGGCCTTCCCCCTCAACTTTCACTGGCAGAAGAATAGAAATAACATCCTAAGTTTCCAGTCAACCTTCATTACTCAGAGGTCCCCTGAGGAAAGTGGCTCTCGGATTTTCCCTCTTTGACAGCTGAAGAAACTGATGCACAAAGGGGAATCATGGGTCTTCAAGGTCACATAGAAGTCAGAGGAAGGGAGGCAGTCTGTTTAGTGAAAAGAATCTTTCCACAGTTGTTAGTCAGGAGCATTAGTGACTCTAAAGATAAACCTTTAATTGCCATTGCTTTTGTGTGTTTTAATTCATAGGGGCTCTTCTGAGGCAACTGCGTCTTGATGTGTCATGGGATATGTGGGCAAATGTGGGGAAGCTTTTTCTAAATCATCTAATCTGGCGTTATCCTGAGTGGCTCCCATGGAACTCCGGGCTCAAGGGTGGCTTACTAGGTCCTGCCCTTCATTCAGCAAGAAGGGTTCGCTCTAAGGAAGTCTGAGAACCATTCATCCCAAGGACAGCGGGAGTTCAGGGCCAGCACAGGCATTGTGAGGACAGAGAATGGGAGCGGGCTGGTGTTCTGTCTCTCCTGAGGGCACTCGGTATGTCCACAGCTCCAGTGAGTACCAGGTGCTGAGAAAGGGGATAGGACACTTTCACACAAGAAAAGGCCAGGTGCTGACATTTAGTTTTCCCATCCATGATTTCCAGGACCCAAAAGCCCCTGGAGGTAGGAGGCATAAAGGGAAAAGGAGGGTGAAATAGCAAAGAAGAATGCTCCCTCCCACCCTGGCCCTTCCCCAGAGTTTCGGGGGTGTACGAGGGGTAGGGCAGGCACGACAATCACAACAGTGTGGGAAAATAATGAAAACGAATGAGATGTTAAATGTACTGAAGTGAAAAAGAAGTTATAATTTAAAAAGCTTTTAATGATTTATTTTTAAAAAATATATTTTTATTGATTTCAGAGAAAGGAGGGAGAGATAGAAACAATGATGAGAAAGAATCATTGATTTGCTGCCTCCTGCATGCCCCACACTGGGGATCGAGCCCACAACCTGTGCCCTGACTGGGAATCGAACCGTGACTTCCTGGTCCATAGGTTGACGTTCAACCATTGAGCCATGCTGGCTGGGCAAGATTTTAATGATTTTAGAAATATTACAAGATGTCTTGGCTTCTAGTGCCTACAAATAAAAGATGAGTTTTTTATTTTATTTTTTTAAAATGTATTTTATTGATTTTTACAGAGAGGAAGGGAGAGGGATAGAGAGTTAGAAACATCGACCAGCTACCTCATGCACACCCCCTACTGGGGAGGTGCCCGCAACCAAGTTACATGCCCTTGACTGGAATCAAACCTGGGACCCTTCAGTCCTCAGGCCAACGCTCTCTCCACTGAGCCAAATAGGTCAGGGCAAAAGATGAGTTTTTTAAATGAAAGACTCATTTGCTTCCCTTTTTGACTTTGGGGCTGAACACCAAACTTACCCAGAATCATAAATAAAATACTCTCTAGGGAACTCACTTTTCTGGCTCCCAGACCTTTCTGATCCACCTGGGCCTCCCATTAACTTTGGGGCAGCCAATCCCCAACACTGTGCTCTCTCCTACTAGTGAGGGCTTCGGGGACTAACTCAGGGGAAGCCTGCATTGGGGCTGGGGCTGGGCGCAGGCATTTCAAGGCTGAGCAGCGCTGGGAATGGAAGGGTGGGGTTTTCTGGTTTAAACTTAGTGGTTTTGGGAGTTAAGACAAACCTGGTTTTGAATCAGTTCCACTGCTTACTGGTGGTGTTGCCTTGGGTAAAGTTACTTTACTGTTATTATTTTTTTCCAATTACAGTTAGCATTCAATATCATCTGTTTCAGATATAGTGGTTAGACATTTATATAAGTGCCCCCCTGACATGATACAGTTGTTATAATATTATTGACTATATTCCCTGTGCTGGACTTTACATTCCATGACTATTGTGTTACTGCTAAGTTGTACTTCTTAGTCCCTTCACCTTTTCCCTCAATGCACCCCACTCCACCCCCAACCTGGCTGAGCCTGTGTTCTCCTTTGTGAAATAAGAAGGCAAACGGTTCCTGCCCCCTATGGATTGATGGGAGAAGTTGCATGAAGAGGTACATGGCCCATATGGACCATCTATTAATACATCAAAGAAATGCCCTTGACACTTGGCCATCAAATCAGAGGCCCTCTGATGCTCCCCTGCCTCTGGGTGTTTCCTTGCTCTCTGGGGCTGTTTCCAAGAGGCAGACCCGGAACGGAAGAGCCCAGGACATGTCAGGAAATCTGGTGAAGGTCAAGGAGAGCGGAGTTGAAACCAACAGATTTCGAAGTCAGTCTCCCTGGGGAGAACGAGCTCAAATCTCAGAATTGTGAGGACAATCACACGTTAAACCTGAAAGCTGCACTCCTTCTTCATCACAGAGGGAAATATTGGTTAGAGACAGCAGACTGGAGAGAGCACACGAGACCATACTCAAATCCATATAAACCATTTAATTAGAAAAGTCATAAAAACAACAAAAAGGGCAGATTTCCCAATGCAGGGTAGACAAGAAAGCAAATGGGGTTGAAAGGCACCCATTAATTTAAAATTTTATCAGAAGTCATCAGATGACCTTTTGCGCACAAAGTAAAAAAAAAAAAAGTCCTCTTTGGAATAGCAGCAGCATTTAAGGTTTTCATGTCACACTTGGTTATTCCTTTGGGATGTGGCTGTGTAGTCGTGGGAGAGATGTTCCCTGAAAGTTTGGTTGAAACAGGTTCTTTCAGCGTTTCCATGGCAATGCCAGACAAGCCTGAGAAGCTAAGGAAGAGGGCTGTACTGCAGGTCTGCTTTGGTCAGTGATGCAGAGCTGCACTCGGCTGCAGGCTGGTGACATGTCACACCAAGCAGCATTCTTTTTTATTTCTTTGTTAATCCTCTCCCGAGATTATTTTTTCCATTGCTTGTCAGAGAGAGTGGAACGAGACAGAGAGAAACGTCAAGGTGAGAGAGACACATCGACTGCTTGCCTCCCACATGTGCCCAACCTTGGCCAGGGATTGAGCCTGCAACCAAGGTATGTGCCCTTGTTGGAATTCGAACCCGAGACCCTTCCATCTGCAGGCTGACACTCTATCCACTGAGCCAAACTGGCCAGGGCAAGGAGCATTCTTTTAATGTAGGGCCCATCATCATCTTAAAGACCTGACTGGATTCTAAAAGAATAGAGCCCAGGACTCTACAGAAATGACCAATACCAAGTTTAACGCAGTGAGCTCAGCACTTGTTTCTGTAGAAAACATTTCGAATGAAGTTCTTCCCAAGTGCCTAAGCCACCTCCGAGCTTCGCAGGCAGGCCTCAGAAGTCCAGCTGGCACCAGGGGAGTGCTCATTCACATTCACCTCTAAGGAGAGGCTGAAAGGAATTTCCAGTGACAGGCCCGGGGGTCCCTATCCAAGGCTGTCTCACTGTGGCTCCAGGAATCCTGGACATCTCTTTTCAAAAGGCTGTGCTGACATCCTGCTGGCATGGCTCAGTGGTTGAGCATCAACCTATGAACCAGAAGGTCCTGGGTTTGATTCCAGGCTAGGTCTCATCATTGATGTTCCTATCTCTACCTTCCTCTCCGAAATCCTATATAATAAAGAGGTAATATGCAAATTGACCCCATACCCTTGTGTCACTAGATGGCCACCCCGTCATCACAAGATGGCCGCCACAAGACGGCCACCCTCATGTCGTCACAAGATGGCCACCCCCACGTTGTCAGAAGGGGAGGGCAGTTGCGGGAGGGACCAGGCCTGCAGGGGAGGGCAATTGGGGGTGATCTGGCCAGCAGGGGAGCAGTTAGGTGTCAATGAGGCCAGCAGGGGAGCAGTTAGGGGGTGATCAGGCTGGCAGGCAGAAGTGGTTAGGGTCAATCAGGCAGGCAGGCGGGTGAGTGGTTAGGAGCCAGCAGTTTTGGATTGTGAGAGGGATGTCCGACTGCCGGTTTAGGCCTGATCCTAAACCGGCAGTCGGACATCCCCTGAGGGGTCCCGGATTGGAGAGGGTGCAGGCTGGGCTGAAGGACAATCCCCGCCGCCCCAGTGCACAAATTTCGTGCACCGGGCCTCTAGTCAATAATAAAAAAAGGTTGTGCTGGGAAATACAGCAACAGCTAGCTGATGTATTCTGGCATCTGAACTCTGGCCAGGTCCCCTGGAGTGTGCATCTTAGAGAATTTCAAAATGGAAATGGAATCTCTGCCTTCCCTTGTCAGCCCAAGTCCTTTGTGTGACAGAAGAACGCTATAAAAAAAATAATAAAATACTATCTGATATTTCCCTCTACCCTTGGTATTGCTTTTCATCTTCTCAAAACCCACTCCTCCCAGTGCTGACAAACTGAACCAGAAAATGACAACTGAGGCAGCTGTTGATTGGCCTACACTTGTTTCTTAAGGCAGAGAGAAAAGAAGTCTATAATTGGCTTTTGATTTAAGAAAGCCAAGGCCTTTAAGGGGAAAGGCCAGAAGTCATATAAACAGATACCAAATCCAGGAGAACACTGATGAGTGATAAGGGCAAGGCTTCCGTGCCCCCAAGACCAGACAAAGGCTGTGCAGATGGAAGCCAGTGGCCAGGCCTGCGTCCTGCCCTTCTCTTTGTGACCAGTTGGGTGGGGACCTCACTGGAAGCTGGATGTGGGGAGGTGGTTTTATGAACAGAGAGATTTGGGCCTGTCTTCCTGAGCCCCAACCCAGAGTACAAGCAGTGGAGACATGGGGCTGAGTTGAGGAATAGGTTCCCTGTACCCATGTCACCCATGTCATCGAGGATATACAGGTGGTCGAGGGATCCTTAGATTGGAATGGGACTTGTGGGACACAGCAGTAATCTGAGAGGACCAATGTCCAAACCAGATGGGTCCGTGGTCACCTTGGCAGAAGTCGCTGTGGACTGATGGCATTGAGGGCCACTATTTTGACCCCTTGTCACCAACTGGTATCAGAAAATCCCGCCTCTCCTCTCTCTATCCTCCCGAGACCTTGACCTTCATGGGAAATGTGTATCTGTGGATTCCCTCCACCACAAGATGGGAGCTAAAAGCAGTTGTTAAGGAATGACCTATTTCTTTTCATACCTGAGCTTGTGGGATAGATTTTCTCTTGCTACATGTGCTTTTAAAGTTGGCTTTCTACGCTGACTTAGCAATGGAGCAGATAAGCACAGGAACAACTTCTGGCCATTCACTTGCAGGTTCTGTAAGTCAGAGCTGAAGCTATAGGCTGGGCCTTCGAGTAATCTTAGAGCACTACCCTTTCTCCCACACTCCCATTTTACAGAAAAGTTAACTGAGGCTCCTCCCACTGCTCACAGCACAGGGCAAAGCAAGCAAAAGGGGGTGGTAGTGGTAGGCACTGTGTTTGAAATGAGGCGAGGATCTGGGTGATGGTGGTGAATATACGTTGTCTGTCAGTCTGGAATCTATACACAGTCAAGCCACGGATCCCACTGTCCGGGCAGGACCGCCTTTGGCTTGCCCTCTGTGTGTAGGCCCAGCAGGCCAGCTTTGCTTCATTCCTGACCGCCCGTCAACTTGTGGAACAGGTCCTCGTCCAGTGTTTCATTCTGGCCCTTGGAGCGGGTAGACAAGAAAATGTAGCCACCGATGTATTCGTGCACCACCTTGCAATCTGCACTCAGGCAGGAGAACGCAATGGAGACGTTCTGGTCAAACTCGATCGCCACCTGGAAGAGGAAGCACAGGGAAGCTTAACCTCTGACACGGAAAGATGGGAAAGAAGCTGCTTTGCTGGAGATGGCCCCAGAGCTGAGGACTATCGAGATAGCTGACGGATGGATTTCTCCCCAAATCCTACAAAAAAACCCCACCACTTGCCCTTACAGAAAACATCTTTGCTCTCTGCGCCCTCTTGTGGTGTCAACTTTGGCAAAACACTATTTTTATTTTTTTAAAATATTTTTATTTATTTCAGAGAGGACAGGAGAGGGAGAGAGAGATAGAAACATCAACGATGAGAGAGAATCATTGATGGGCTGCCTCTTGCACGCCCCCCATACTGGGGATTAAGCCCACAACCTGAACATGTGCCCTTAACCGGAATTGAACCCAGGACCCTCAGTCTGCAGGCCGATGCTCTATCCCAGCTGTGGACAAACTACGGCCCGCGGGCCGGATCCAGCCCGTTTGAAATGCATAAAACTAAAAAAAAAAAAACAAAAAAAAGACCGTACCCTTTTATGTAATGATGTTTACTTTGAATTTATATTAGTTCACACAAACACTCCATCCATGCTTTTGTTCCGGCCCTCCGGTCCAGTTTAAGAACCCATTGTGGCCCTCGAGTCAAAAAGTTTGCCCACCCCTGCTCTATCCACTGAGCAAAACCAGCTAGGGCGCAAAACACTCTTAACTCCCAACACACACACATACTTTCTGTCTGTCTCTTGTTTAGATGTAGGACTTTTTAAGCACTCCAGGTGTCAAAGGGAAGGTACATTACAGACTTTTTAATGGAGAGTAAAAGGTCCACCTGAAATTTCCTCCAGCCCCTGGCCCTCACCCCTTCCCAGCTGAGAGTCATAAACTCTCAGCACTAGAAGAAACATGAAGGGTTCTCAACCGTGGAGGCCCATTGCAACCACCTGAGGCCCTTTAAAAATTATTGATGCCCAGCTACTGCCCTAGACATGCAGCTTTAATTGGTCTTGGGAGTGGCCTGGGCAGTGGCATTTTAAAACTCCCAGGCAATCCTAATATGCAACACAATTTCAGAACCACTCCCTTGGAAGCCATCTAATCTCAGACCTTCACTCTAAACAATGAGCGCCCACATGGCTAACAACTCTGCTGACAGGAATCCATAGTTCTTAAAAAAATAAGTGTGAGTTTCCGGGTAGCTCCGTTGGTTAGAGCATCATCCTGATACGACAAGGCTGCGGGTTCGACCTCCGGTCAGGGCACATACAAGAAGCAACCAGTGAATGCACAAATAACAAACTGATCTCTCTCTGTCTCCTTCTCTCCGTAATAAAAAAAGGTGTGAGTCTCTTCCCATGCCTCTACATCGAATGTTTTCTGCTGGAAAAACGAGGAAAGGAGGGAAGAGAGATCCCAATCCAGCAGGATGCTAAGCTGCTCTAGAATTTCCCATGCTATAGCCTTGGCCGGAACTTAGTGCCCGAGGTGTGAACGATGGGGTGCTGAGAGCTGGAGAATTCCTAAACTTGCTTCTCTAGCGTTTTTCCCCTTTGGGGCCCTGGAATGCTCTCCAGGTGGGCAATGGAGCCTCAGAGCCCTCCACCAGTTAGACATTTTGGCAGCCAGTCCGATTTTTGCATTTATTTTGGGTGACAGTTGCATCTCATGTAGTTTCTGCTAAGTCTTATATAATCCCATGGTGAGCTGAAGGAAATGAATCAAACTGCTCAGCAATTTTAGAATCTGTACGGAGACTGAGCCACCTAGTGGGGTAATTCAAAGGCATTTCTGATCTGTTCTTGTTAGGAAGCTGCCCAGAACTGCCTGTGGTTATTCGAGCAGACAATGGCACATGCTTGTGGTTTCTGAGCTCTAAATATAAGAACAGCTTTTAAAATCAGGATAATCTGCAATTTTGAGGGCACACATTTATAGGCTCAACACCAAATATACCCGAAGCTTTCACTTTACCTGCCGGATTTCCCAATTTACATTCCACTGTTTCATGTTGGCGAATCTCCATGTTGTAATTGGAACCCCAGTGGCTGCATCGATTCTAATCAGCCTATTATATGAAACTCCCAGAATGTCATCTTTCTTGCTTCCTTTAAATCTGAAAAAGATAATTAAAAGAAGTAACTGCTTCTTGTAATATGCTGTTTATTCACATACGACTTCTTAAAGATAAATAATAGCAGCATTTCTAAATCATCTATGAAAAATGGACAATGAACGGTTATCTTTCTATAGAAGGGCATTTTTATTGTGATCTAGAGAATATGACAATAGAGAGAATTAAGACTGTCCCAAAGGCATTCTTTAAGTGAAACTGACTTTAGAGCAGTGGTTCTCAACCTTGGCTGCACATTAGAATCACCTGGGAATCTTTTTAAAATCCTGATTTCTGGGCCTCATCCTCCGGAAACTCTTTCTTTGTTACTAATGTTGTGGCCCCACCCCATAACAAAGAAACAGAACTTCTGGAGGATAAGGCCCAGAAATCAGGATTTTAAAGATTCCCAGGTGATTCTAATGTGCAGCCAGGGTTGAGAACCACTGCTTTAGGCTAGGAAAGCAAAATAAAAGGGAGTCAAATTAATTAATTCAAAATTAGCACCAATTGTGTATGCCAGGCACCCTTCTAGGCACCGAGACGATAGCAGTGACCTAAATGGATGGAAAATCCCTGACTTCATGGAGCTTATAGTCTAGTGGGGGAAACTTGACCAGAAAGGAGGTCACAGGTTTCATAAAATCAATGGGTGATTTCTCTCTGTGGTTTTGCAAATGTTGTTATTCTAAACCAGTGATGGCGAACCTGTGACACGCGTGTCAGAGGTGACACGTGAACTCATTTTTTTGGGTTGACTTTTCTTTGTTAAATGGCATTTAAATATATAAAATAAATATCAAAAATATAAATCTTTGTTTTACTATGGTTGCAAATATCAAAAAATTTCTATATGTGACACGGCATCAGAGTTAAGTTAGGGTTTTTCAAAACGCTGACACGCTGAGCTCAAAAGGTTCGCCATCACTGTTCTAAACGGACCAAATTTCCTTTCCCAGCTTTTATAAGATTCATGGGTATGGCACCTTGGACAGAGGGACAGAAGATCTTTTTGAGCAGCCAAAAGTCTTGGGCCATTTGTGAAAGGGCAGTGTTCTAAAAATAAAAAGAGTTCTACACCCAGAGTGAGAACGAACGGTTCCAAGAAAACCACTTAAAATGGAAAGGAAAGTGAGAGATGCAAGTGAACATTGTAATCACCTGACAAGGTAATAGGTGAGGCCGAATTCGGGTAGAGACTGCCATGCCTGAATGAACCGCAGCTTGGCTTCAACCAGGGACATCTGGGCCACGTTCTGGTGGGCTTCCATAATCCGGGCTGCCAGCTAAACAGAGACAAGAGATGTCAAACTCTCCTTAGCATGCGCTGACTGCTCTGTAACCATCCGATTAGTTCCAGATTGCTGTGAGAAAAATAAAAGGGAGGTCCACCTGCAGCTTTTCAAATACGAGTCATTCTCATTCATATTCTCTCTCTCTCTCTCTCTCTCTCTCTCTCTCTCTCTCTCTCTCTCTCTCTCTGAAATCCCCAGGGAGAAGCTGAAACTAGATCAACCAACACAAGAGCTTCTAAGGGTCATGCAGATGGAGAGTTCTGGGTTCCTCTTTCTGGGGTATTGGGGTGTCCATGGACAATGGGTCTACTTGATTCAGTTTATCTGTTCGACTTTTTAACCCATGCTTATGGAAGCATAATTAAAAAATTTAATTTTTATGGACCAAATAATTTAAAAAAATATTTTTATTGATTTCAGAGAGGAAGGGAGAGGGAGAGAGAAACATCAATGATGAGAGACAATCATTGATCAGCTGCCTCCTGCATGCCCCCTACTGGGGATGACGCCAGAAACCTGGGCATGTGCCCTTGACTGGAATTGAACCTGGGACCTTTCAGTCTGCAGGCCGACACTCTATGAGCCAAACCGGCTAGGGCCTTATTTTTAATTAAACTATATCAGGGCATATTGCTATATTCAATTAGCGGTACAGATAACTTCTAACATAATTAACAATAATTTCTTAATATCATCTATAGTCAAATTTGCCCATCAACTGATTTTTCATGATGATAGCCTCAATCATTTTAATTGCTCATTTTATTTCAGAAAAGACAGAATTCACTGCAAACCATTACCCCAACAAGATTAGCAGTACCTGTTTAGACTTGTGTTTTTTTGCACACCGGGGTGACACAAAACATTCCGGGTTCATGTCCATGTTTTCTGGACTGGAAGCCATGGAAGATGTTGAGTTTCGGTTTTTCATCCTCAGAAAGGAAAGAATGTTGAGGACTTCTGGCTGGTAGGAGCTATCTGCCATGGTTTTGCCCTTTGATGCCAAGATACAGGCAGCCATCCACTGGGCATACTGATTCTCCTGCAGCAAATACAGGAAGGCTGAGAAGGAAGTTCAAGTCCTGGGAACAGCAGGACTTGGGCTTTCATCTTTATAATACAAAACTGTCACCTTCTGAGCATGGAAAGATTAAAGTGGCATATGTTCTGAGTGGCCATTGTTCACCTAACTTAACACCCAGCAATGGCCTTTGATTCTTGTGTTGAATGTCTAGTTAAGGGGCTAGAGAATAGCGATGTCAGTCTTGCTAAATTCCATGAATTTAAAGATGAACCAAGGATGTGTGCTATGGAGCACAGACAGCTGAAACCCTCAAGTACCAGACAGCCTTCCTTGATATAGATTTCCATTTTCAGATCACATCTGATCTCTCTGACAGAACAAGAAAAAAATCATGAACTGATTTCCTATGTTATTTCTACCCTGGCCTATCGTTAGTAAAGACTAGTCCATAGTAGGAATCAGGTCCATTGATGAGCTCTGAACCAGAGAGGGTGCCTCCTATCTGTCTGCATTTTTCTAACCTTAGGGAGTAAAGAGGAGTGGTCCCAGAAGCCGAGGGGATGCAGCTGAAGAGTGAAATTCTTCAGAGCAACAGTAGGTGTGGTCCATTGACTTACTGGCCTCAATCTCCACACCCGTTGCCATGTAATTTTACAGTCCCTCCCACGACAGCCAGAGTGTAATTACCCCCACTTGATGTTGGGCCCAGCAACGAGGCTTGCTTTGGCCAATGGAATAAGGGTGGAAATGACCAATTGCAAGCCTACATGTTAGGAGGTCTCATCTGTTTCCAGTTGCTTTCTTGCATTCCTGCCATCATTGTGAGAAGAGCCTCCCCAGGGGGCTCAGGACTTAGAATAAATCAATGAGCTCAAACTGCAGTGGAGAGCCAAGCTTAGCCAGATCTGCCCTGCTGACACCAGCCTGCTTCATCCACCCCTGGCCTACTGCAGATGTTTCAGAAACAAGTGTTTATTGGGATATGTCATTGTGATTTTTGTGGTTGTTTGTTACAAACAATAGCTGACTGATACAATAGTGTTCTCATTTGAGAAAATACCTCAGATGGTTTGTCCTTAGGTTTAATTAAGGTGAAATGACTGAACGTATGTATGGTTTTACTTACATGGTCACATCTCAGATACACTTCATTCATACCATCAGCAACAGGGATTAGTAACTTGATTCCAAATTTTCTTCCTGCTACATTCACATCTGGCACAACTTCACAGCCTGAATAACAAAAGGCAGGGTCACAACTGAGTTGTGGAGAATGTACTAAATAAATATCAGGTGTGCATCTAAAAGAAAGACTTTTAAATAAGCCCCTTAGATTTTGTTCTCTTCTAAAAAATGGAGGAGCAAGCTGATAACATTAACTAAAGGCTAAGTAGATAGGACTTACAAACAAGTAACATGGATAGAGAAAAATATTTTCTTTTATGATTTTAAAAAATATATCATCAATTGAATTCAGTTTTAAGATTGATTTGGCTATCCTAACCTATAAGAACCATTATGAATGTGAACTAACTCATAGGAACAATTATGAACTTCAAAATAACTCAAAACCCAGGAAATTCTCTGATTGCCACAATGATAAGGGAATTGAGTGTAGGGTTAATATAATATTTCAACTAATAGAGTTACCAGGACACTCACAATCACTTTTAGAAGTTAGAATAGGCATTAAAGCAACATTGAATTAAACATAACTGTTCGTTGAATTAAACATAACAGTTCTGAAATTCAGAAAGCTTATCAGGAGCCTACAATGTATTATACTTATGACACCAATTACCACCACTGCATAGATTTGAACACACTGGGAAAGAAGAAACTACAGACTATAAATAACCATGTTTATTAAACCACATTCCAGGTCCTCTGACCCCAGGGGGGGCCAGAGCTGCGGGCAGGGGCCTTTTGAACACAGGGGCACACTGGAAGTCAACCTCGCTTCCCTGGGTAGAAGTCTTGGCTTTCATTGGCTTGCTGGGTCATGACAAGCCACAGCAAGGTAGCCCACTTACCTCTGAGATTTAACTTTTCTACTGGTTCTCCTTCTTCAAGTTCCTTACTTTTAAAGTAGGTTATAGACGTGTCTTTAAAGACGAACCAATATTGTTTGAAAGCTTTTAATATTAGCTTCTTGGGCCTGCAAATGAAAGTATAGGAAACGTTGAAACAACATCTGGAAATGTAGGAAACATTGCACATTTCAAGCACATCCAAACGCACTTTCAAACAACATAGGCTTTATCTTTAAAAGCAATTTGCAAATTGCCAAGTCATTTCTAAAAACGAGAAATGGGGTTTGCTCTGAGATGTAGAGGTTAATAATAAGTGCTAAATAAATAATAATAATTGGGAGAAACATCCATGAATCTGTGACATATAAAATTTCCATACACTTCTTAGATCTGAAGAAACTGTCATTGTGAACTGCATAACCTTCAAGTTGTCAGACATAAATAGCAGATATCAAAGTAGGTAAGCTCTTCTGTAGTTTCCTCTTGACCCTTAAGAGAAATCACCAGAGAATTCCCAGTGAGCCATGGAAAGCACTAAAACCTACAGCTAATCTATACAGATGCTATTTTGGGGGAAGATTCCTAACAGTGATATCTTTGGGGGCCAGAAAACGTTGCTCACTTAGCATATTAGACTCTTATTACATAGGATTTATGAAGATGTATTTGTGGATTCAAATTATTACTGCTTTTCTGTAGCTCTATCACAATATGCATGGTTGCAACTATTAATGACCCTTTAGTTTGAGACCACATCCTAAGATCACATTTTAAAAAGAAAATAAACCTGTAGAACAAGCATGTCAAACTCGAGGCCCATGGGCCACATGTGGCCCACAACAAATATTTTTATGGCCCAGTCAGTATAATGGTATGTAAGAAACATTTTAATAAAATTTCATAACTTAATTTTTACAATATCCTGTTATACATAATTATTAATAACGAACTACAACATTCACTAATGACTGACTACTATAATTGTGTTGCATTTATTTCCCTTACGCGCCTTACATGCAGGCACACCATTTCTCTCCACTAATACTAGCAGTGAATATTTTAGCAGCCGATTGCCACGTCATTAGTCTTAGACTGACTTGTTTGGTGTGCGCAACAGGAAATACTTTGCTTTTGGAGAAAAAGAAAAATAGGTTTATTGGCGTTATGCTTATTAATTTGTGCAGTTATTCAGTGTCTGGCAAGTTAATGTTCAAGAAAAAATATTAATTTTTATTAAAATGTTCTATTATTTTACGTTAACAATTACTCATTTATTTCAGCCCTTTGTATTCAGCATGTCTCTATTGAGATAAACCTACGTTTCTATGAAATTTGAAGCTTCTGTTTTTTTGCGGCCCACATAAACTTAAACCTTGTTTATTTGGCTTGTGTTAGCCTGTGAGTTTGACATGCTTGCTGTAGAAACTCAGGGGCAAACCTTTGGGTTCCTTTTTCTCATTTATACCTGGTTCATTTTCATTCTTTCTAAGTCTTTCTTTGCATTCCGTATTATCAAAAGCAACTGGTTTCCAAGCCAATGACCCCGTGAAGTGTTTGTTATTAAGTCAACAAACCATGAAGTGACACAGTAACTGACAGAACTTCAAAGGGACCTTATCCCTTTCATCCTAACATACCTTGGCACCATCACAGCTATGGCAGTCCTTTTTTCCCCATGAAATAAAAACTTCTCTGCCTTTTTAAGTTTCTGATTGACATGAGGTGACTGGGGGGGCGGGGGGAGGGGGTTAATCAGAAATAGGTAGATAACTAAGGTTATCTCTCTATAAGCCTGAGATCCAAGTTCCAGTGGCAATTGATTTTCAAACTGTGAAAGAACCGGGAAATGGTGTCAGAGTCGAGCCTCCCAGATGGACAGTCACAGAAACTCCAGTCTTCCAGTCTGACATCTGGGTTCGTTCTGGCTGACCCTGGCCATGTTTACACCACCATGTACTATGAGCCAGGCCCCATGCTCAGCGCTTCATATGTGTTATTTAATCTTCTCAACAAACTCAGGAGGAGGTATATCCTTATTTTATAGATCAGGAAACGGAGGCTCAGAGACAAAAGGACAGCTCCCAAGGTCACCCAGCCAGCGTGTGCTGTGGAGCTAGTATCGGCCCGTCTGTCTGTCTGATGCACTTATCTTTGAACCATGAATCTGCTTGCAGTGGTTCTCAACCTTCCTAATGCCACGACCCTTTAATATAGTTCCTCATGTTGTGGTGACCCCCAACCATAAAATTATTTTCGTTGCTACTTCATAACTGTAATTTTGCTTGTAAATATTGTAAATATCTGATATGCAGGATGTATTTTCAGGGGTCGCGACCCACAGGTTGAGAACCACTGGCTTAATGGATCTTCAATTTAAACTCCCGGACTCTTTACCTATAAGGGTTTGTTATGAGTAATCCCTTTTCCCTTTAAGGATGACTTACCTAAATAATTTGAGATTATCTGCAAGTTTAGGGATGTCAGTGATGTCCTCCTAAGGAAAAACGTAATATTTCATAAGCAGTGATTAGACACATGGTGCTGATCCTTTATACCTGCACTGCCCAACGCTGTAGCCACACACCACGTGTAGCCATTTGAATTTGAATTAATTACAATGGTATAAAATGACAAACTCAGTTCCTCAGTCACACTAGCCACACATCCAATAGTTGCCTTGGGGGAAGGGGATGGAGGTGGGGCAGGGGTGGGAGTGGGATGGGGCACATGCAGGGGCCTCTGTGGTGGCATCTGGCCAAGTTCTGGATATTGGTTTGATGGTGACTTGGGAGAGAATTTAATACTCATTTGGTAGGCTGTTCATTTCTGGTTTTCATTTTTCTGTATATGTCACATATCACACAAAGGAGAAAAAGAGATTAAAAATTTAACCAAGCATGCCCTGCGCCTACCATTCAAGTGAAACATTTGACTTAGAAACAACTACTTTTACGTACAAACAGAAGTCTTTTACAACTTGGGCATCAGAGTGAGTAACCCTAGCTACACCTGGTTTACTGATTAAACTCTCCAAAGGTACCTGGTTCAAAGTTCATTCTACAGCGTAGGCTGGTGCTTGTTTTCAAACTGAAAAGCCTATTGTTTGACATCACAAGGCCTTGACAGAAAACATCTTGAGGGCGGGAGGAGGGAAACTTTCATCTGTTCTAAGAAGGAACACTTTCCTGTTGTATGTATTTAGTGGTGGACGTAGACAAAAAAAGAACTCCAGTTTCATGGGGCTGGTGTCTCCTATACACATGAGGAGGCTCTGACTCCCTGAAGAACCTTGGTTTGAGTTTGTTTCAGGTATTTAGTTTTGCATGAACCAACTCCCTATGTTAAGGACTTTAATCACAAGCGAACACATATTAAATACATAAGAATACAGTGACTCATTTTTATCAATTACTTTTAAAAAACCTAACTACTATGGATCCGCCTCTCTGAATCAATGTGGTTAAGCCACTTCCATGATTAAGGAAGTTAAACAAAAGTGTGGCACCCAACAAATGCATCAAGCAGCGGGGCATTCCCATGATAAAGCCGACATTCAGCCACATTTCATGGGTAAGGAGCAAAACGCGATCAACCTGTATCCCTTCTTTACGTTTTACTAAAGTCAAAAGCGTTCAGGAAATGTTTATAATGTTCCAGAAAAAGGCCCTCACTTCTGTCCGCCTTGCCAGTGGAAAGGTAATCAGGGGTGGGGACCATCCGGCCCATGAAATCACTTGATCTGGTGCTGCCAAGGCCTCAGGGGTGAGTTAATGAAATGTCTGGACAAATACAGCAGGCTAATTTTTAAGTTAATAATTTTGTATGGCCTGTGAATAATGTTATAAATATCCAAATGGCCCTTGGCAAAAAATAAGGTTTCCCCACCCCTAAGGTAAATAGGTAACTAGGCTTTGTTACCTGTAAGGCATTTTCTCTATTTCTACAGCTGCCCCATACAGTAGACTGAGGGTTCTTTCTAGACTTAAGGAACCAATTCCGCGTTCCATGTAGTGGAATGGAGTCCTCAGCAGTCTTTCTCTCATACCAGGCCAACTCATCCCAAAGAAGACACGTGAAATGATAGTATTGTCATTAGTGTAATGAGAATAGTACTGCATAGTCCAGGGGTGGGCAAACTTTTTGACTCGAGGGCCACAATGGGTTCTTAAACTGCACCGGAGGGCCGGAACAAAAGCATGGATGGAGTGTTTGTGTGAACTAATATAAATTCAAAGTAAACATCATTACATAAAAGGGTACGGTCTTTTTTTTTTTTTAGTTTTATTCATTTCAAACGGGCCGGATCCGGCCCGCGGGCTGTAGTTTGCCCACAGCTGGCATAGTCCCTTACAGAGCTGACCAGGGAAAGCTGTTCAGTTCTGGCTAGGTTTAAGCTTGTCAGATGACCAGCATGTTTTCTTTTCTCAAATTCAGACAAAATACTCTCTTATTTCTGATAAAAAACCAAAATATCACCTACATTGGTTAGCCAGAACAAAGCCACAGTTCGGAGTTATCAGAAAAGTCCGTACCAAAGTGTTGTCCGCTTTTCCACCTTCTAGGGTCACTTCCAAATTAGAAAGTGCTGCCTCCACTTCATCGACCTCAGACTCACTTGTCAAGTCCTGTATTTCAGCGGACGACGACAATTTGCTAATGTGATACTGCAGAGAAACAGGTGTTAGAAATGGTATAAGCACAATAAATCCGTTAGCCAGTTCTTCCTTCTATTGGAGACAACTCCCCTGTAATACCAAACATCTCCACGGAGACCTCCCTTCTGTGCAGAGAAAATGACATTTCAACCCGAATCATTCTGAGATCTAGGGTTGGTCATGCTCAGATTCGGCTCTTCTACATCACTGGCTGAGTTTGTATTGGGGAAGAGTCAGCATTGCATCAGTTATACACATGTGTGTACAAGGAGCATTTAAAATTCTAATTCACAAAAATTTCCACGTCGGCAAAAGTCAAGATGGAAGGGAGTGGAGCGCGAGGGGGGAACCCGCCGGGAATGCCTGGCGGCCGGCGCTGGAGAGGCGGCCCGGGAGCAGACCCGGCCACGCGGGAGGGCGCCCGGCCGAGGGGGGCCGGAGCGCGACCACCGCCCGCAGCCCCCGGCGCCTCTGCGCGCCCCGCCCGGGGGACGCTGCCCACTGCGCTCGGGCCCTGGCTCCGGGGGGTCGCAGGGGAGGGCACGGTGGCGGGAGGTGGGGCCGGGGAGGCCGGGAAGACACTTTCCAGACCTGCCGCACGGGTGCAACAGCTGTGCTCGCGGTAAGTAGGGGGAGGGGGCCGCTGCTGCTGCCGGGGCAGGGGTGCGGGCGGGGACTGAGAGCCGAGGGGCAGCGTGGGAGGCGCTGCAGGAGGGACGGTTGAGTGCAGACGGGGGTCCGCGGGAAGCTTTCTGTCTAATGGGGCAGGGAGAACCCCGCGGAGTGGGTGGTGGCGCGGAGGGGAGACGACTGCAGGGATCCGAGTTCGGGGCCGGGCGCGGGCTGCGGGAGGCCCGGGAATGGAGCAGCGGGAATGGCTGGGGGAAGGGGAGCCGCTTGGAGGCGCCGCAGAGCCCTGCTTTCCCGGGCCGTCCCACCTGCGGGGCATTTCCCGGCCTGTCTGCGCCCCTTTTTAAAACTCTTCCAGCTCCGAGAATTCATCCTAGTGCGCCCCCCCTCCCCCAACTCTCCAGACAGGAAGGTAAAAAGTTGCCACAAGTTAGGGAGTTAGCGGCTTGCCAAAGTTTAAACAGCAGGATTGCGGGGGAGGTGGGGTGCGAGCGGGATGGGTTCTGGTCGGGATGGATGGGGAGGGGAGGGGAAGGGAGGGCGGGTGTGATTCCCGCAGCCCTTTTGCTGTGACATTGCGACCGCACTTGGTCGAACAGGGCTGTTCAAACGGCATTTCTGTGGGGCATTTGCTCCTGCTGACTGCGGCGGTAACTTTCCACAATTAATGACCCGTTCCATTAACGGGCGCATCCTGGGCTAAATTGCTTTGAGTGCCTCCTATCTCCCCCCCCCCCCCCCAAAGGTGCCGGGGGAGCGCGACCGCGCTCCTCCTCCTTCTCGCCCCAAAAGTGCCGGCGGAGCGCGACCGCGCTCCTCCCGCCTTCTCCCCCAAAAGTGCCGGGTGGGGGGGGGGGCGCCCTCTCTTTCCCTAAAAGTGCAGGGGAGCGCCTGTAAATAAAAATAAAATTCTAATTCACTCCCCTCATTTTTAGTGCTTTCTTCCAAGAAAAGGCCAGTATGAATACAGTGAAACTTAAGCAAAACAAACTTGCTTTGTCTCCTTCCAGAGAGGAGGTCCTGAAGTTCCCATACCTGCAGTGCTGCAAAGATCAACATTTCTTCCTCTGTGCAGTCAATTTCTTCTAAGACAATGGCCCACCTGGCTTGTTCATAGAGCTGGTTTATTCGGACAGCATCATACTAGAGAAAGAAAGAGTTATGTGTGTGTGTGTGGTGGTGGTGGTGTAGGGGGCACATTCCTATTCCACAATACAAAATTCTGGAATGGCAGGCCGTTCCTTGTTAGACAGATGCACTGAACTTTAGTTCAGGTAACTAAAAGGGACACACTGCCCCAGCTCTTTTTATTTCTAAATTTAGAACTTTCTCAAAATATTTCCCTGGGTTTTTTCAAGGGGACCAACCAACCCATCTTAGATTGCATTACTTCACCTTCTTATTGGTATGAAAAGCAGATAGTAAAATTGGTTTATGTGATAACCAAAAAAAGGAGGAGGGATTGCTGATCTGCAAACTCAGTGCAATCCTAATCAGAATCTGATAGGAATTTTTATTTTATTTCATTTTGTTGATTTTTAGAGAGAGAGGAAGGGAGAGGGAGAGAGATACATATCAATGTCAGAGCATAACATTGATTACTGCCTCCTGCATATCCCTCACTGGAATCAAGCCCCAAACCCGGGCGTGTGCCCTGACCAGAAATTGAACCATGCCCAGGATGGGATGATGCCCAACCATCTTAGCCATATTAGCCAGGGCTGATAGGGATTTTTAAATAAAACTTTATACAAGCTAATTTTTAAGTTAAGCTGGAAAAAACCAATCCTATATAATACAGAGATGTGGACGGCAGAAAGACCTGCAAGGACCAGTGGGCGAGGCAGCCAGTGCTGCGAGAGCCGAGCCCCTCACACGAATTTTGAATATCACGAGGCACATTTTGAAAAAGAACAATATTGGGAAGACACCTGTTCTCCCAGACATTAAAACATATTATAAAGCTGCAGCAACTAAAATGGTGTGGTATTCGTATAGTGGTAGACAAAATGTCAATAACACAGGATCTAGAAACAGACCTATATATGTATATAAGTTTAATATAAAATAAAAATGGCATTTTATAGCAGCAGGGGAAGAAAGAATTCAAGACTAGAGTGTTAACAATGCCTTGACATTTGGAAAATAAAAATCCAAAATAAAAAAAACAATCTCTCATCATCCAAAAAATATTAATTACAGATAGACAATGAGATACCACTTCACACTCAGTAGGCTTTAATGCAAAAGACAGATCATAACAAATGTTACTGAGGATGTGGAGAAATTGGAACCCTTATTCATTGCTGGTGGGACTATGGTGCAGCCTCTATGGAAAACAGTTTGGTAGCTCCTCAAAAAGTTAAACATGGAGTATGATCCAGCAATTCCACTTGTAAGTATATAGAGGTGAAAAAAAAAGGAAAAGAGGGACTCAAACAGATACGTGGACACCAATGCTCACCATAGCATTATTCACAATAGCCAAAAGGCAGAAGCAACCCCAATGCCCATAAATGGATGAATAAATAAACACAATGTAATATATACACACAATGGGATATCATCCAGCCTTCAGAAGGAATGAAATTCTCATGCACGTTACAACTATAAGATATTATACTAAGTGAAATAAGCCAGACACAAAAGGACAACTATTGTGTGATTCCACTTTTATGAAGTACCTTCAATAGGCAAATTCATAAAGATAGGAAGTAGAACAGAGGTTACAGGGCTGGAGGAAGGGTTAAATGGGGAGTTATTGTTTAATGGGTACAGAGTTTTTGTATAGGATGATAAAAAATGTTCTGGAAATGGACAATGGTGGTAGCTTCATAACATTATAAATGTACTTAATGCCACTGAATTGTGGACCTAAAAATGATTAAAATGGCCCTAGCTGGTTTGGTTCAGTGGATAGAGCATCGGCCTGCGGACTGAAGGGTCCCAAGTTCGATTCTGGTCAAGGGCACATGACTGGGTTGCGGGCTGATCCCCAGTAGGAGGTGTGCATGAGGCAGCCAATCAATGATTCTCATTGATGTTTCTCTCTCTCCCGTCCTCTCTAAATATCAATTAAAAATATATTTTAAAAAAAGAAAAGATAAGCTATTTACTGGGAGAAAATCTTTAAAAAACAATTTAAAAATGGTTAAAATGGAAATTGTTATGTATGTTTTACCACAATAAAAAGAAATAAAAAAAACCAAACAAACCAAAAAACAAAACCCAAACCTGTACATGAATGTTCTTAGCAGCATTATTCATAATAACCCCCAAGTAGAATCATTCCAAATGTCCATCAACTGATGGATAAATAAAATGTGGCACATACATTCAATGGGATATTATTTGACAATAAAAAGAAACGAAATACCGGTTCGTGGTACAATATGAACTGACCTTGAAAATATTATGCTAAACAAAAGAAACTAGTCACAAAGTACCACATATTATATAACCCCATTTATATGAAACGTCCAGGATAGGCAAATCCATAGGGACAGAAGGAAGACTGACTGATGCTTGCCTAGGGCCGGGAGGTTGGGAGGGAAGGGAGGGCGGCTCCTAGTGGATAACGAGTTTCTTGTTAGGATGGCGAAGGTGTTCTGAAATGAGACGGTGGTGACAGTTGCACAACTCAGTGAATATACTAAAAACCATTCATTCGTACCGAGTAAATGGGTGAAATGTATGGTATGTGAATTATATCTCAAACGACTTATAAGGAATCTAAACATAACAACTAAACCTCTGAGGAGGAACCATGAAGAGAACAATTTTGTAATCTTCGAATGAGGAAGGGCTGTTGGCGGAGAAAATGACCGAGGGGAAGGCTGTGCCACAAGAGGCAGTGACACTGCTTGGGTGAGAAAAGGTTCTGCGCGGAACAGGTGGCCTGAGGCAAGCCCGTCGAACACGTGCCCGGCAGTGAGCACATGGATAGAGCATCGCCAAACACCAAACTGGGCGGGAACAGTGCGATGAACTGCCCTGTGCACTCAGAGAAGCAGTGACCCAGTTTCTATTTTCTACATTTTGGCCATTTATCTGCTGACGCACAACTGTACGAACGGGCAAACCAGGGCCAGGGAGAGGAATCAGTTGCCCAGTAAACTTCAGGTGGGAGACACACACCTCAGATGCGACCTGGCGACTAGCCGGGCCTTTATTTACATAGATGACCCCTCTTTCTCATCGCCACCGTGGGGAGTCTGCTGTGCGCCATCATGGGGTCCTGGTTTTTTCATGAGAACCTGCTCTTAACCTAGGTCCTGACAACGCCTCCTTCCCAAACGCTAAGCACTCTGGCTCCCTGAACGCTCTCTTCTTGTTCCTGTGAATGGAGAGGGGAGCATGCACCTGCTGGGCACGAAGACCCCCAGAGACTCCCACACAGTCGCGGCAGCTGACCAAGCTCGCTAGAACCCGAAGATGCAAACCAGGGAGCAGAAGGCATTTACTGATCTAACTCTGAAGAGGTAGCAGAAGATTACACACGTTAATCCTAACTCTGACGACTAAATGACTCAGCTGTACACTTCCATGGATTCATATTTTAAAAAAGAGAGAGAATAGAGAAAGAGGATCTTACCTTGGGATTCAGGTCAAAGAAGGTGTAGTATTTAAATCGTAACAGCAGCTGCTCATCCTCCTGGATGCCCTGTTCCATGAGGGAACGCGAGGAGTCCAGCCAACTAGAAAACAGTCAGATGAGTTACAAAAGTCGATCAGTTTTATACATATATGTTACAGCATTATATAATATGTTTACATGTTATCTATGTTATATAATATGTTCTATGTAATAAATGCACCATGTAATATGTTATATATATTTACATTATATACACACATCTCCTTGAACAAAATCCGAGTAAGTAATGTGACCAAAAAACCAGTAAGGGAGAGGACTTGAAACTAGCTTATAGCTATATTTTATCTTACAGCTTTCCCAATGCTAGGTATGTGTGTGTATAGATATTTATATATAATTTATTTATTTATTTTTCTGCCAGAGCAGTTTTTATTTTCTCAGTTTTATAGATGTTAAAATAGTCTCAGTGACTCTGTTTATGCTTAAGGTCCTGTACCTCGTGGCGGAGCCAGAATGAGAATCTGCACTTGCTGACTGCCCGCACCGCCTCTCCCCTACACCGGGTGACTGCCCGCACAGCTTCTCCCCTACACTGGGTGACTGCCCGCACAGCCTCTCCCCTACACCGGGTGACTGCCCGCACAGCTTCTCCCCTACACCGGGTGACTGCCCGCACAGCTTCTCCCCTACACTGGGTGACTGCCCGCACAGCCTCTCCCCTACACGGGTGACTGCCCGCACAGCCTCTCCCCTACACGGGTGACTGCCCGCACAGCCTCTCCCCTACACGGGTGACTGCCTGCACAGCCTCTCCCCTACACTGGGTGAGTTCCCCGCACAGCCTCTCCCCTACACTAGGTGGTCCGACCCAAAACTGGCTCTATCTTATTGCCCTGAACTTTCTATAATTACAACAACATTCTGTATGGCCCTGTCCAATAGAGTAGCCACTAGCCCAGGGGTGGGCAAACTTTTTGACTCGAGGGCCACAATGGGTTTTTAAACTGGACCGGAGGGCCGGAACAAAAGCATGGATGGAGTGTTTGTGTGAACTAATATAAATTCAAAGTAAACATCATTACATAAAAGGGTACGGTCTTTTTTTTCAGTAGTTTTATTCATTTCAAACGGGCCGGACGGGCCGTAGTTTGCCCACGGCTGCACTAGCCACATGTGGCTACTGAAGATTTACATGTGGCTAGTGCCACATTTCCATTTTATTTTATTTTATTTTATTTTATTTTATTTTATTTTAAATATATTTTATTGATTTTTTACAGAGAGGAAGGGAGAGAGATAGATAGTTAGAAACATCGATGAGAGAGAAACATCGATCAGCTGCCTCCTGCACATCTCCTACTGGGGATGTGCCGCAACCCAGGTACATGCCCTTGACCGGAATCGAACCTGGGACCTTTCAGTCCGCAAGCTGACGCTCTGTCCACTGAGCCAAACCGGTTTTGGCCACATTTCCATTTTAATTAAATTCAAATTTAGATGTAAATATCTACATGTGGCTAGTGACTCCTATACTGGATAGTTTAGTCCTAAGGTTGACAAAACACACACACTGGGTAATGGTGAGAGGTGGAGGGATGACGATTAAACAGTAACCACAAAACCAGGTGGGCATGAATGCCAGCCAGTAACACTGAAGGAAAATGGCTTGAACTTCTATTAAATTAGCCCCCAAGATGCAATCTCCATCCCAAAGGACTTGGTCCAGTGGGAGAGACCAAGCCTCCTAATAAAGGAAGAGAGTGACTCTGGGCAAGCAAAGTATGAGAACAGAACTACAGAGAAGTGACGACCTTGAATGGTGACATCTACGAAGGAGAGAGTGACTGGGCCGAAAAGGATGAGCAGGGCTGACTGGAGAGCAGGAGGCGGGGAGGAGAGGCCTCGGGTGCGCCATGGGGGCGGGGTACACAGTAGGACAGGAAGACAGTGCTGGGCCAGATACCACAGGGAGTGGAATGCTGCCCACAAGCTGACTTTATTTGGTGAACAGTGGGGAGTGAAAAGAGCCAGTGGTCTGAGAAATAGTTTGAGTGTGTCTTCTGAGCCCGCTTGAGGCAAAGCTGGACTTGCTCTAGAATGCCTGTAGAGAGAAGTGGCATTTTACAAGACCGTGCGGGCAGGTGGGCCACCTTGGGCCTCCCCCTGACCCATGGGTTCCAACCCACTTACGAACTGCTCGACCTCCCATAAAATACACTTTGCACACCTCAGGGGGAAAGAATTCCTATTTGCATATGGTAAACCATTGGGTTATCCCAACACATAAGGGACGTCACACTTTACATGTATTGAAATGACCAAAGGCCTTGTTTTTTCCTTTTTGTTGCTATAGTCAGTCCTGACTTTTGCTAGCACTGTGCAATCCCCAGGCACTCTAATTTAAAAAATAAACAACCTCTCCCCATCTCTGCGGCATCTCTCTTACTACATCAGTGTCAGTTCACAGAGAAGCAACACGGAGCCACATCCTTACCCCGCGTTAAGCTTGGTTTTATCGACCAGAGACCGGGACTGGTACATGTCAGCCAGCGCCTCCGGTGACTGCGGGGGTTGGCTGAATGCGAGGATGTTGCAGTTTTGTTCGGTCAAAGGGCTGTCACTGAACCACGTCATGGTGGATGACACCGGCGTTCCGTTGACGGGGTCATACGTGGGAGTCATGGTTTTACTGTACAAGCCAGGACTTACTGTAAGGCAAAGGGGAACACACACTAGGATATGAGATTCAGGGAGTGGAAATCTCTGGAAAAGTAAGTACAGATTGCTGACACTGAAATGGATTTTGAATTTAAATAGCTGTAACATTTAAAATAATCAGAGGAGTCATGACTGATGCGGGAGGAGTTATACACGGGTAAAGCTCTTGCCTGAATGTTTAGCTACTGAAAACTTGGGAACTGACAGGCTGTAAAAGCTTCCACAGTCAACCCACACAAGTGAGGGAGACGATGTCCTTCTCAACAATTCAAAATGCCTCTGCTTGAGCTGTGAGTTTTCACGCTATTGGAGAACCAGAGATCTCACAGAATGTATGTACAGACTATATTTTGGGCAAATTCTTTAAAGAAATAGCAGCACTTGCCAATTTTAAGAACCCAGCTAATTAATGGTTTATATATCATCTGCCTTTACTTTGCATATGAAAAGTGCAAATAATTCCTTTCATTCTTTGCACTGGCATATACTATGCAAGAAAACCCTCAAATGTTGCAAACAAGCTAGCTTTTTATATTCTTATATAACAAGAAAAGAATGAAGCCTTTCTAGAATTTTTACCTGTTCTCCTGTTACATGTCCAGTGCAAAATTTAAATGGAATTCATACAAGAGTCACAGGAAGATTGAACCAGGAAAACAGAAGTATATTTGAGTGATCCAAATAATCTGTTTCCTCCCTCAAATTCACAGCCAGTTCTATTAAGGTTTCTAATTCATCAGAAACATAATACATGCAATTAACATAATGAGCTATAAAGCATATCTTGTCAAAAAAATTCTGTTAGTTCTAAAATTAATTGGATATCCTTTCCTCATCATAGGACTCTTGCAATTTTAGCCCTTCTTTGTTTGGGGGAGAAAGGAGAAGGGAGGGACAAGAGGAAAGACAGAGCAGAGGGGAGGAGAGTTCCTAGGATTTAAAAATTGAGGTAACTCTTGCTCTGGCCGGGTTGCTCAGTGGTTAGAGTTGGCTTGAGGCCCAAAGGGTCTCAGGTTCAATTCCCGGGGCATGAGTGGGAGGAAACCAATCAATGTGTCTCTCTCCCATCAATGTTTCTCTCTCACTCTGTTTCTTTCTCTCTTTTCCTCTTTCCCTCCCTCTTTCCTCCATCCCTTCCACTATGTCTAAAAATCAATGAAAAAAATAATCTTGGATGAGGATTAAAAAAAGTACAAAAAAATTTTAAGAAACTCTCGGCTTTAAGAATGAATTAAAACAACAAAGCACCTGTCACAATTCTTACCTGGTGGCCCAGAAATTGTTGGAGAATTCTCCAGATTTAAAATGTCTTCAATTAAGGGCTCCTTATTATTCTTGTCTTTTTTCTTCTTCTTTTTAAAATAGTCGCTAGAAGGCTTTAACAAGGAAAGTTCTTCTGGTCTTCTAATATCTAATAAATAAGTATAAAAAACAAAGAAGAAAAACTGAAAAGTTAAAATAAAATAAAATAAAATAAAATAAAAATTCCTGTTGGGCATTTGAAACCATTTCTCAGGAAATTCTGGAGAAGTAATTGAACTAGATTGCACTACTTTTTAAAGAAACAGAGGGGAATAAGAGCCCCCCCCCCCCCCCAATAAGGGTGTAGGGAGGTCAAATAGTGGAGGGAGATATAGTCTAGTAAAATTTCTATTTTGTTTTTTGATTTATTGTGAAAATTTTTCAGATGTATCTAAAGCAAAGGGAATAGTATAATGGCCCATCCATGGACTCATCACCCAGCCTCAACCAAATTTTGCTATTCTTATGCAACCTACTTACTACCAATTTCCCTTCCCTCTTTCCTCCCTTTCTTTCTCCCTTTTGCCCCCCACTCCTTATCTTTTTTATTCAGTTTTTTAAACAACAGCCAAGGGCCCCACCTTTTTTCTTCCTGGACCACAGATCCAGAGAGCCCTTTTCTTACATGATGTCCAGCTGCTACTTTCATCCCTGTGGCAGACATCATTGGTGCCTGCCCGCCTCTTCTTGGCCTCACCCTTTCAGTGCACTCCGACTTGACTGCCAATGGCAGCTAGGACATGTGTCTGTCTGCCCATGGGCTTGCTCTGAACACCGGAGTCTACTCTGCCCAGATACAGCGCAACCGGCCACACGAGTTCAGAGAATGAACGCTCTCCAAGGGCAGCCCCGGTGACTGATGAGTGGCGTATTAACACCCAGCTCCCTCGGCCCTTGGGTGGGATGGCTCTGAGGCATGTCTCTGCTGGGACAATCTCTTATTGGTGGCCTTCTCTGCCCAGTCTCACGTCCCCATTCGTTATCAGTGTTTCCCGGCATTACCCCCTCACCCCTCAAATAAATAAATATTTGCACTGGAATCCTTATCTCAGGGTCTGCTTCTGGAGAACTGAAGATTATCCCCATTTTCCTCTATTAATGAAATACGTTTAGCATTGCCATTAACCACACTGAGCCGCTATGATCCCAGGGAAAAGCCAGGGAATGTGGCTAGAATCAGAGGTAAATGAACTGATCCCTCCCACTTCTCAGCTCAAACACTGCTTTGTGCGGAGACTGAGGCTGGTAGTTCAGCTCGATTCTCTCCCCAGTAACCAAGGATGTCTGATCATCAGGTTGCAGCAGGCACCTGTGACCACTTCAAATGCATAATTTATACACAAAACCTAGAGATGAATCAAGATGTCCAGGGTGGTAAACATTAGAAACAAAACATAACACCAAAACAAAACAAACAAAACTCTATCTCCAAGTCTAACATTTGCCTTTCCTTTTCCTTGAGGAAAAACCCATAGTTTTGGTGAATTTGATCTACCTTCTATTGATCAGATAGAAAGAGATTAGTAGAAATGCCAGTTGGGCCTTTTAGAACTACCATGAAGATAGATAATCTGGAAAAGAGAAGAACATCTGACTGCTTCTATTTACTTCAAAACCTCAAGAATTTGGTTCCAGGTATGATGTGTGCTTCCAGTCTACTGCGACATTTGGTGTAATTCAATCTTTATTAAGTCCCACAAAAAAGAAATGGTTTTCCAATCCTCATGAGAATGTTACTGAAATCAGGGTGCCTGGTGTTTGCCACTTGCTCACCAAGCAGCAGGGACACTTTGGAACTTACATTCCATAATGGGAGGTTCTGTTCACTTGTCACTCACGTTATTAAACAGCTAATGCGTGCAGGCATTGTGCTGGGCATGCTCAAAAAAAAAAAAAAAGGTTTCTCTCTTCACCCTGTTAAATACATACCAGCCTCCAATGCCCAATACTGGCATTCCCAAGTCTATATATACTATTATACTTTTTCTGTTTGCCCTACTATCTCCTTTTAACATCTTAGTTTTTACATTTATTATTTATTTTCTGTCTCTGTACACTGGAATGTAAGCTTCAGGAGGGAAGAGATTTGGGGCTACTTTTTATGACTAACATACCCTTAGTATTCACCACAGTGCTTGCCTAATCCTATATTACAAAGGGCCAGAGGCCATAAGCATCACGACCAGAATGAACACTGGACCAGATGGGGAACCACAGGGAACTGGGTGGGTGGTGGCAGTGGCTGGAGCGAAGCAGCCCAGGTCCCGGTGGGTGCCTGGCGGCTGCCGGAGCAAAGCAGCCCCAGTTCCGGGTGCCTGGTGGTGGTGGCCGGAATGAAGCAGCCCTGGTCCTGGGTGCCTGGCAGTGGCTGGAGCAAAGCAGCCTTGGTCCCAGGTGCCTGGCAGTGGCCGGAGCAAAGCAGCCCTAGTTCCGGGTGCCTGGTGGTGGCGGCCAGAATGAAGCAGCCCCAGTTCTGGGTGCCTGGCAGTGGCTGGAGCAAAGCAGCCCTAGTTCCGGGTGCCTGGTGGCAGCGGCCAAAGCAAAGCAGCCCAGGTCCCGGGTGCCAGAGGAAAGCCGGTGCCAGCAGCTGGGGGAAGAAAGGCCTACTCTTGCACAAATCTTCGTGCATCGGGCCTCTAGTTATAACACATGTTTGTTGAAGGAATGAATGAGCAGTTTAAAGCTTCATGGGGAAGATAGATCTTAGCCTTGGGACCAAAGAATTTACCTACACACTTTCAAAAAAATCTCTCTATATAAAACTCTAAGCGACCGGTTGACTGCTTGACCATTTACCGGTTGCTATGATGTGCACTGACCACCACCAGGGGCAGACACTCAATGAAGGAGCTGCAACCTGGTTGTCAGTGTGTTCCCACAGCGGGAGCGCCACTCAGCTGACGGGTGCCAGAGTGCCGGGCTCGTAGCTGGTGAGCACAGCTGCGGTGGTGCAAGCCTCTCCTGCCTCTGTGGCAGCAGGCGCAGCAGGGCCGGGATGAGTGGGAGTGGTGTGGTGCCGGCTAGGGCTCGGGCTCCTCCCTGGCCACTTGCCACTTCGCTCACTATTACATCCCTCGGGGGATGTCGGCCTGCCAGAACAGGCCGAAACCAGAGTGGTCCCAGATTGCGAGAGGGCATAGGCCAGACTGAGGGACACCAACGGTGCACGAATCCGTGCACCGGGTCTCTAATATAAAATAAGAACACCCTCACAAGGCAGGGTTTGCTTCCACTAAGGAAGTCCCACAAAAAAAAAAAGAAAGGGTTTGGGTGATGCTGTCCTTAATGGCTGTTAAACTTATGAGATGGTATCAATTCGTTCCATTCCATAATTAAGTGTACTTTTCTGCACAGGATTTTTGTGGATAGGGCTATTGGAGCCAAGTGTAAGAGAAGCAATGAAGACATTACTCCACCATTCTCTCAAAACTAATAAAGATGCATTGGCTCCAAGGTGATAATGACTTAATGGAACTCTTTTTTTGTTTGTCTTAAATATAATGATGATTTACTATGGCTAAGAGAAATGAATTTGGGGGATTGTAATGGGCTTGTTTCTTCTGAGTATACATCTCTTTTGAAGCAGTTTTAAGCTTTGTAAAAATGAATCTGAAGTATCTCAGTAATGTCCCATTTGGATTAATGCCACTTCAATGGCTCCAGTCCGCAAAATTGGGTTTGAAAAGTGTGCTTCCTAAGGAGGGCGTACTCTGGGAGCAAAGGCAGGAAGCACACAGCATTTTCCTGCCCAAAAGTCCAAAGGGCACAGGGGCCCCTCCGGGGTACTCACTCAGGGCTTTGCAGATATCACTGACAGCTCTGAACACCACAGCAGAGAAGCTGACTCGCAATCGCACCGTCTTCACGTTCGGCAGGCGGAGGCGAAGCATTTTATGCTGAGGGGTGAAGACGAGCTTTGCATCTGCCTGGACTCCACATTTGTCCAGGGTCCAGTGCGTTTTCAGGAGCCAGCAACGCTTTTGTTCCCACCAAAGGGCAAAGTCTGACCAGTCTTGGGCTATGTCTGCAAAAATAGAAAACACAGTGAAGTACAACGAGAGGGAGGGCACGCCAGTCAATTCCATCGTGTGCAAAAATGCAAACAAAGGGCCGCTCTTCAGCGCCCCATCTCCTGGTACAACCCTAGGCTCAACGATTTTTGGCTTCTCTTCAAAGAGTCTAAGGCGGGACAGGTAGAAAACAGCCTGAATCTTACCATCACTGATACTTCAATGCTGCGGAAGGAACAGACATACACAAATTCTGTTCATCTTGAAATGCTGAAGTTCTCTCCCTTCAATCTCCCAGGGCCATGGTCCTTCCTGGGAAGACCAGGAGCGCTCTGCTTTGTTTAATCAAGATAATTTCCCCGCTAGAAATGTATTCTTGCCCCCTGGGTCACAAGGGGATATCCACAGCGCCCAATCAGAGCCCGCACGGAAGTTCTATAAAGCTGACATGTCACCCTTCTCGGTAATGCCCAGCTCTTTTATCAGAACCCTCATATCCCCAGTATCCAAAGTGTCTACACTGAAATCAGAGCCGAATATTTTCTGAGAGTGAGCATCAACACGGAAACTGCCCCCTTCTTCAATGTTGGCATCAACGTTGAATCGTTTCCCTTCATTAAAGTGAATAGTCAATCTTTTATTTTGCTAAATGAAGAGCCAGCAGTGTTGTTATTTCCTTTGAAAAAAGTGATTTCTCTCTCTTTCCCTCTCTTTTTAACTTAGTGGCTACCTTTGGCGGGGCAGTGACAAGGAGGGGTCAGGTACGAGACGGGGCTGGGGGAATAAGTAATGTTCTATTTCTTGACTTGGGTGGTGGTTACACGACTTGGAAAATTCACTGGGCTTTCTTTCACTAGTGTCAACGAAGAGCCCACACCATGGCCTTAGAAGACAGAAATAAAGACAAGGCAGACAGAACGTTATTAAATTCTAGGTGATCGTGTCGACTCCTGATGTGAAACTCTGACCCTGAAGATCTCTTTCTCTGTTTAGGAAGAGAGAGTAGCAACCGGTGGGTATGTGTTAAAAGACAAATTAGCACCAAGCTGACTTTATCACTGAGCAATCAAGCACTAACAGGAGTCCAGCACCTTCGAAAAAGCCTGCGGTCACCCTAGATGTCACCCGTAGAATGGGCCCATTCTTGTGGACACAGGGCATTTTCCCTACCGGGAAGCTTTGGTTTGTCGCCAGGGAGTCAAGTTTTTACAAGGGTTGTTAAGGGCGGGTTAGTCTGAGACTCTTGTAGGGCCCCTTAGTTCTCTTCTTCTTGGGGGAAGGGTGCTAGCTCTCTGGGCCATTACCAGATAAAGGATCAGAAAAACATAGGTGATCAGACAACTTAGATCAGCGGCGATGCAACAGAGAGGGTTTCAGATATAGAGACACCAGAACAAAACAGAAACTTACTGATCTTCTCTACTAACTTGAGCATCACCCCCCCAACGTGCAGGTCCCCGGACACTGTCAGGGTGACGTCTTTCTGCTCCTCTTCATCTGGACGGTCCACTCGGACCACGAGCTCCCAAGAAGCAGATGCAAAGTCATTGGCTGAGAGCATCGTGGCAAATGCGGGTGTCTGCTGCATCGAAGGGCGGACAGAGATCAGAACATGAGGTGACCCGGCAGAGCAAAACGTTTTTACGTTTACTTTTTTTATTTTGGCCTCATCTTGAAAAAAGTCTGCGGCATTCTCAGTGCCCCAGATATTAAATCAGCATCTTAATTTTAAAGACAAGAAAGTATTATACAAAGGGTCTCAAGCCTTCTAAATTTATCTTTCATTTCTCCCAAGACCACTGGGCTTTTTATTTTCTGTGCCTGCTCAATGCGTCAACCTTCATTTTCCCTCTCTACTGACTTTTCTTGATCTTCTCTGAACTATTCTAGCAGCAGGCAACAAATCATGGCAATCCTTGATGATACCTTTAAAAAGAATCCACTTTATTAAGGATAATTCGCATACTATAAAACACACAGATTTTAAATGTACCATTGAATACATTCTGTTGTATGCAAATTATACCTTAATAAAGCTGATTTAAAAGGATGTCATTAAAATCTTTCTCTATCTGTAATATAATACATATGTATTATTATGTTCCTCCTATAAATATTAATGACATCTTCCAGTATGAAAATTCAAAAACTAAAAATATAGCAAAATAGTGTCTATTTCAGCTAAGCAGTATCAAAACAGAAACGTCTCAAGGGGGTAATAGGAACCCTGGAATCCAGACTTGGCAGAACTTAAAATATTAGCTCTCTGTTAGTTTTAAGTATATTTTCTTATTGATTTTAGGAGAGAAGGAGGGAGAGGGAGAGAGATAGAAACATCAATGATGAGAGAGAAACAATGATTAGCTGCCTCCTGCACACCCCCTACTGGGGATAGAGCCCGAAACTCAGGCATGTGCTCTGAACGGGAATCAAACCTATGACCTCTTGGTTCATGGGTTGACTGGCTCAACCACTGAGCAACACTGGCTGGGCTCTCTGTTACTTGTAAACAGAAAGCAAGTGATAATATGTCTCCTGGCTATCTAAAGATTTTAAATCAAAATCAGTCATGTAAGTGATAAATCTTTTTCCCTTGGCTAGGTAAAGACAGCTTATGAGAAATCCATGTTTTCATAAGCCCTATTTAAAAAACAACAACATTGGTGCACTCAAATTCCTGAGAAAGGGCTGATTGAACCGAAAGTGCCTGTGAATTCCTCTCCAGATCTCATTAACATGCAGGTTCTATTCAGCAGGTGTCGGTGGGCCCTGCATGCGTCACGAACTCCCTGCGACACCAGTCTGTGGCTCACTTTTGAGTTGGAGCAGCCCAGTGAGACCTTAGCCCCAGGGCTCAGTTCCCCCCTCCACCCACCCACATCAAGATCAAGCCGGGGACTATAGCGACTTCGGAGGAACACTATTTTTAATAATAAGCAATCATTAGTCCACCAGGATCATACCAATTTGGTGTTTGTTTGAAACTGTTCATAATTGTAAGCCTCAGAGCATCTCGAAATACACAAAACAGATAAACATGCAATTCTGAATAGGCATAGGACAGATTTTATTTGTTTGAATCAATTCAAAAGTTCAGAAGTAGCTCCTAATGTTTTCATGACCAGAGGGACAGTGATGTAATAATGCTTGTCCCTTCCCATGCACATACGCGAATCTGCAGACCCCTTTGCTGGGGCAGCCGTGCCATGGGTATATCAGGCCTAACTACCCCTTTCCTCTTCATCAGCCGCAAGTATTGTTTATTATGTACTTACTGGGTGGTGTATTCTGTGTTAACTACTATTCTTGTGTTGTCTCCACCCTGTCAGCAATCCCATTTAGAAACGAGGAAGCCCAGGATCAGAGAAGCTAGGCAACTTGCCGGAAAGCACACAGCAAGTTAGATGGTAGAGAGAGCCCAGACGGAAATCTAGGTCTTTCTAACTTTAAACTCTTAACCACCACACGGGGACACATCCTTGATACTGTTGCAACACCAATAGGAAATAAAACTCTTAAGAATACTTGAGCTAAACTCTCCGTAGCCTTTACTAAGCATTTCTACTCATGTAAATCTTTCCCAGTGAGGAGACAATAAAGATATCATCTTCACAGACAAACTCCTAACAGGGCATTGAGCTGTTGGACTTTAACAGCTTTACAATTTCTCAAATGCTATGATCTGGAGTTTAGTTATTTAAAACGTTTTGTCCATAAAGAAAATAACTTGTCTTTGAAGGTGAGTCCATGGGCAATCATACATAAAGGACTTTTCTTTCCTTACCTGGGCAATCAAAACACTTCTCATTGAGGCAACAGATGGTGATTCCCTCACAACAAACCCAGGCTAAAATTAGACAATCTGGTTTTCCCACATTCCTACCCTATCTTTCCGCGCCTTCATTTTTATTGAATTTCTCATCCGCAGCAAGCTGCTACTTGTTGAGCAGAGCAGCGAACTTCAACCGCGAAAGGGCATCTTGGAGGCCAGAACAAGAAGCAAGGCCACCAGCAGAAATGCCTGCCTGGGGCGAACGAAGCCCGGCTGCCTACCTCCTCCTGTCCTTTCGAGAAAATGCAGGAACGAAAGTGAGACAGAGGGACAGGGGGGTGGGCAGAAAAGAAGGAAATAAGGAAGGCAGACAGACCAGAAAACGAGACAAAGGATGATAGATTGATCATTAGACAGACAGATGATAGATAGATCGATAGGGAAAGAGCCTCCATGCGTCTTCCCCTGAAAGATCAGAGCGTGCGTTTCGGAAGGCCAGTCTTGTCAGTTCTGCAGGGCCCGGGGTCCCGGGTGGATAGTGGGTGGGTGGGAACCCGCCCCTTACCCCCCATGCAGGCAGCACCCACGGCGGGACAGTTTACTTGGCGTGGCGCGCTGCGCAAGGCTGCAGGAGGTTGCCGCTCGCCAAGGGCGTTCTTTTTAATTCAACAGCCATTTAAGTGAAAGCGAGCTGGAGAGAGTCAGGGGGCAGGGGTCGGGGCCCACCTAAGCCGCCGCTCCCTACCGATCTCCCGCCCCCTCTAGCCCTAGCCCCTCGGCACCCACCTTCTTTCTCGGAGCCCGTGGCGTGCAGCCTCGCAGACCTGCACGTGGAGGGTTGCGCCCCTAGAGGCCAGGACGGAGGCCACCCGGGCGGAGTCGGGGGCGGGCGCCGGGGGCGCACGGTCGCGGCTGCGGCTCGGCTGGGCTGCGGCGGGCGAGGGAGGCTCGCGGACGCCGGGCTCGGAGGCACGGGACCTCCCGCCGAGGCGCGGCGCCCGCCCCCAGCCGGACGCGGACGCGGACGGGGACGCGGCGAGCCGGGTGCACGGTTCCCGCCCCGCGGCCTCCGGGGCACTGCGGCCAGCGCCCGGCTCGGCAGGCGAGGGCACGCTCGGCGCCGGGCCTGCTGGGTCTCGCTCCCGGGAGAGGAGGCGCGCTCCGCAGGCTTTTTAAGGGCAAAGGGTGGTCCAAGGGCTGCTCCGCGGCGCGGGGGCGGGGGCGTGGGGAGGAGAGGGGACCTGGGCCACACGCTCACTCCCTGCTCCGATCTTGCTACCTGAGACCGCCTTCAGTTTTCCCGGTTCCCCCGGCGCCCTCCCGACGAGCACAGGTTATTAAAGCCCGGCTCCTTTTCCCCTGCCCTCCAGGTACAGCCATGGCTCACACTAGGGAACGCCCCGGCCGGAGACTCCCAGCTCCGGGCTAGAAACTCCCCTTTACAGACCCTGGAGGCGCCCGGTGGGAGAAACGAAAGCGGTCCGTCTCTGAGTAAGAGGGTGATGTAACCCCCCCGAGGAGGGTGAGGCGCCCAAAGTACGCACCATGGAAGACCCCGGGCACCCTAAGGGCACGCCCCACGCGGAAGTCTGGGGTGGCTCACCCCAGATTCACACCCAGCCCGGCTGGCCACCTTCCTGTCGGATTCACTTCCCAAGGGAGCGGTGAAGGGTGGGTGACCTCGGGGAATTTACACAACCTCTCCACGCCTTCTTCGTTCATATTACACACACTTGTAGAGTGTTTATTTTGTGCCAGGCCTTGAGCTGAGCTCACAGGATACACTGTTTACAAAGCAGACATGGAAATTACAGTTAACTTATCTGTAAAATGGGCGGAGGGATGGACTACGCGCCTCCATTCCATGGAGAATTCCATGCAGCATAACACAGGCTTTAGCGATTCGCATCAAGTACATACAGCCTGCGACAACGTAAATATGAATTTAAAATGTGGTGGAATTTAGAATTGGAATCCTTATTTTTGCTCGTACATTATCATATTTAGTCATTGTTGTAGTTTTGAAAGTATTTTACAAGGTCATTTTAACACTTGTCAGCACATAATGAAAATCTTAAAACTGAATTTCCTAATTTGGTGGAGTTTCTCAACTCTGGGAATAGGGTCAATTGTCATCTGGTCCCACAACTGTCATCTGGTCCCAGTCTCTACATGCCCAACACCGACTTAACAAATACGCTCTTATCTTGAGCATAAAGAGTGTAAAGGTTTACTTTCTGGAGACTGAAAGTTATTATATATTATACATTTATTATATATAATTATATGTGTGAAAGAGCACCTATTATGAATATACAGCTGATGAATTTTCATATAATGAACAAATTTATGTACTGTTTTTAAAGTGTTTAATTGAAATATATGCATTCATTATATATTATACTAGAGGCCCAGTGCATGAAATTCGTGCACAGGAGGGAGAGTCCTTCAGCCCGGCCTACACCCTCTTGCAATTTGGGACCCCTCAGGGATGTCCGGCAGTCAGACACCCCTCTTGCAATCTGGGATTGCTGGCTTCTAACTCAGGGGTGGGCAAACTTTTTGACTCGAGGGCCACAATGGGTTCTTAAACTGGACCGGAGGGCCGGAACAAAAGCATGGATGGAGTGTTTGTGTGAACTAATATAAATTCAAAGTAAACATCATTACATAAAAGGGTACGGTCTTTTTTTTTTTTTTTTTTTAGTTTTATTCATTTCAAACGGGCCGGATCCGGCCTCCGGGCCGTAGTTTGCCCACGGCTGTTCTAACCACTCACCTGCCTGCCTGGATCACCCCTAACCACTCTGCCTGCCTGCCTCATCGCCCCCAACCACTTGCCTGCCTGCCTGTGTCATCACCCCTAACTGCTGGCCTGCCTGCTTCATCGCCCCTAATCGCCTCTACCTCAGCCCCCGCCACCATGGCTTTGTCCAGAAGGTTGTCTGGAATGATGTCTGAAAGGTCGTTTGGCTGTCCAGTCTAAGTAGCATAATTTGCTTTTATTATTATAGATATTTATGAAAGAGCACAAATCATGAATATACAGCTGATGAATTTTCACAAACTGTGTATTGAGTGTCGAGATCAAGACACAGGACATTACCAGTCCCCAGAAGTCTCCTAGTTCCTCTTCCAGTTACTGCCATTCCCCGCCAAGAGTAACCATCATCTTGACTTCTAACTCCCTAGAAGGGTTTTGCCAGTCTTTGTGCCATATATAAATGCAATCAGATGATGTGTACTCTTTTGTGTCTGGTTTCTTTTGTTCAACGTTATGTTTTTGAGTTTCATCCATATTGTGTGTTCTTGGGTTTTTTAAAAAAACTTACTACCTGTGAAACAGGTACAACTCATCCATTTCCTAAGGTCCCAGGTTAGAAGTGGATTAAGAAGTGTATTCTGGACTTCAAAATTTCATATGTACATAAACAAGCCATCCTCATCTTTTCTTCCTCTTAAAAAACAAGTACAACCAACACTTTGAGTCAGTTATTTAATTAATCACATATAAATCAAACAATGAATTAGCTTATTTATTCATTCAACCATTATGTTCCTGTGAAATAGACACCATAATATGCACTGAAAATATTCAGATGAACTAGCACAGAGTTTATCTTCAGGTCATAACTCTGATGCTACGGAATTCAGAGGAGGGCCATCTTCTTTCTGCAGGTGTGCGGAGTGGTGAGGAGTATGACAAAAGACTGCAAAAAGGAGGTGATTAAAAAAAAATAAACCTTCTTTATTTATTTAGAGGAGGGGAGAGGGATAGAGAAATAGAAACATCGATGGAAGAGGAACATGATTGATTGGCTGCCTCCTGCACACACCCCTACTGGGGATTGAGCCCACAACCTGGGTATGTGCCCTGACCCAAATCAAACCGGTGACCTCTTGGTTCCTGGGTCGATGCTCAACTGCTGAGCCACACCAGCAGGGCAAGGAGGTGATTTTTGAGATGGAATTTGAAGCGTTGGCGTAGAGCTTAATAGTTGCCTGTAACAACCTGTAGAAAACTGTTAGGTATTTTTTAGTTAGCAGATAGTTATTGCGTCTCAGTTAGCAGAGGTGGAGGATAAAGAGGAACTATATCTCTTGACCTCAAAGTTTTACATGGGCAAATATTAAAACAATAACTATTATCAGATACCCATATCCTGAAAAACTGACCTGATAGTATCCTCAGAAGATAAGTTAGTCATGTTTGCATTATCATATGGGATGTGAGTAGACTGGGCTGGACAAGAGATCTGGCCATGTTCTTCATTCACTGGACAGAAAGGGGAAATAGACAAGTAGAGGGACTGAAAGTCCCAGTTACTTTAACTTGTTAAACACAAGCGACTTCCTTCCTATAACACCTTCCACTTCCACTGGACGCAGCCTCAGAATTTAAAAAATTCTACGTTAGAATGAAAAAGCTTCTGGGAGGAGAAAAGAGGAGGAGTTTTTTTTTAATTGATGTTTTTATTTGACAAAGCAGCATTATCTGCTGTAAGTATTTAAATTGAGTATTTAGTTTATAAACATATTGAAAGTCTGGCAACTAAGAAATGGCAACGCTTGTGTTTATGGAGAACATGTTGTGTTCAGTGCAAAGAAGCAGAATGTGCCTATTATAGTGACACCCTCCTTTCCAGCTGGGTGGGTAATAAGCACTTTCTATGCCCGGGCAAGTTCTATAATTTTCTGCTTGCGAGGGTGGAGAGGGTGTGTCCTATGTATCTATCCCCACCAGATGAAGAAGGGTGAGGAAGAGCAAAGAAAAGTAAGAAGGCCTTGCTGGAGGCCATGGTGCTGGTGTCACCGTTGAGAATGAGTGGAGCAAGAAAAATGGTCCCTCTCTCTCTCCTTCCTTTGCATCCATCTCCATCAAAGGGCACAAAGGATTATACCTGATACACTGACAAGTCTCCCACCTCTCTTGATTATAAAGTTTCCTTTCTTGGAGAAAGCTGTCACCAGTTTCCTCCGGAACCTCCCAGAGGTAGTTTATGCATATAGGCTAATTATGCAGGTGATAGTATTTTATAGATACTGTTTTGCCTTTCGCTTTTCTCACTTTAAAATATTTTGGCAATTGTAGTGGATGTCAGTCATATTTGTGGCTTCCTCCTATCCTTGGAAAGTCCCAGTCTGAAATTAGAACTCCAATCCCCAAGATTTCTTATAGCCAGGACACAGGCCTACCTCCTAGACTTTGTCGCTCAGATACACTCAGGCACAGTTTTAATTTGGAAGTGAACAAAATGTGGAGAGAGGATGTACTTGAAGTTTCTATTCAATAATCATAGGCAAGAATCACTGATGAATTTTAAAATTAGTGAGTAAAAATATGATGAGAAAAAGCATATTTGTAGCCTCAAAATATCTCCCTGCAAAGTATTTGTCAATTACACAGGGAAAGATACTAACATGAGAGTGGAGAAAAATGCAGATATCACCTTAATCAAGTGGTCAAAATGAACATACATCATCTGGAATAATGCATATTGACTTCACACACCTCCTGATATGATGCACTGAGAAGGGCAATAGCATCACTTCCATGTTGTTCCTGCCCAAATTACATAAACCTCAATTTAATCGTAAGAAAGTATCAGACAAACCTATATTGGAGAACATCCTATATAATAAAAGCCTAATATGCTAAGTGTCTGACTGATCATCTGACTGTTCAACCAGTCGCTATGATGCGCACTGACCACCAGGGGTCAGACACTCTGACTGGTAGGTTAGCTTGCTGCTGGGGTTTGGCCTATCGGGACTGGGCGAGACAAGCCCAACATGCCCTGGAGCCCTACTGTGGTCCCTCCCCAGCCTCTAAAGTATTTCTTCTAATTAATTTCCTTTCAATGTGCACAAATCCGTGCACTGGGCCTCTAGTTCTACAAAATAAATTGCTAATACTCGTCTGAAGTGTCAAGGTCATGAGAGACAGAAAAACCGAGGTACTGTCTCAGATCAGAGGAGACTAAAGAGACATGACAACTAAATGCCATGTGAGATCCTGGACTGAATACTGGAACAGAGAAATGACTTCAGTGGGAAAGCCTGTGAAATTTGAATAAAGCAGTAAATT